GAAAAAGTTAAGTTCAAATTTTCAGCACTGAGGAATTGGCTTTTGTCAAACCTAAGTGTTTAATTATCCCTTTAGCAACATTTCATTGCTAAGAATTTGAATAATAATCTTGCCCTACTTTGAACAGTAAAGACCATGATGATTTATTTGAAGATTTTTCATGTAAAATGTAGTTTTCTATTTGCTGTTCCCTATAATCAGTTAAATATTACTGGCTCTTTTGGCTAAATCCGACCAATTTCTTTGAAATTAATGCTGACTTCAGAGAGAGAGTTCTGGGTTAATAATTAGGCAGATATGGCTCTACTTTTAGAATTTGGAGCCCAAGCAGACTAAATATAATGTTCAAGTCTAGAGGCAAGTCTTTTTACTTGGAAAACATAATTCAGCTTTCTAATGTAGTCCCTCATTTTTTACATCCTCAAGATGCCTTTGTAACAATAGATTCTTCTAAATGAAACCAATTAATTGTAATTTATAACTTAAAAAGCTATTTGTTAGGGTTTGCCTTCATGGGTAGAGTAAAAGGTGCAGGTCTCCCCACCCACCCCAAAACAAAACAAACACACAAACAAAACTAAAGGCTAACCCCAAATCCCGTTGTGAAATTTCAGTTACACTCTAGGCTGGTTTGGATTCCCCTTAAGGCAGGTTTCTCAGGCACCACCCAGCTTTTATTTGTCTTGCAGAAGTCCTCAGCACCCTAGGAACCTTTATAATATGTTCAGATAGGGAAGTTCCAATTGTTCCTAGCTATTATTTCACAAGAGCAGCTCTGATTACCTGGTTAGACAGGTTGGGTACTCTTAATTCCTACCATACTCAGAGGAGGCCCAGTCCCCTTGGCCTCTGACATTGAGATGATTAACCCTGCATTAGCTTGGCCACAGTGATACAGCCGTTGTGATGGTAGTTTGCTGACTCCATCCTTTCCCAAGTCTTGCATTCTAGTTCATCCTCTTAAATCTGTCTTCTCCAACATCGCCAGCATTCTCCTGCATCTTTTACCACTTCTTTAACTACATATAGCTTTTTCCTTATGTCGGAGAAAAATTTCATTTCCTGCTATCCTCTCCACTAGATTATCATCATTTCTTCCCTTGCACTATCAACCACCTGATAAGTGATTGTTTCTTACCACTGCTTCATTTCCTCTCTGTACCTTCTTATTCTGTGGTTACAATTCCCACAATTTGAACTTTCTCAAAGGATTCCAAGAACCTGCTTCTTGCCAATACTAACTTCTCCAGTCCTTGTAGTAAATCTTCTGTCATGGTCCCCTCTTGAGTGGTTCCCTCTCCAGAGTTCCCATTTCAGTCCGTGGAATCTCCAGTCCACTTCATTAACTCATGTTTCCAGTGCTCCTTTAAATTATCTCGGATTCTTCCCTTTCTACTCCCACAAACACCCCCTTACCCCTGGCTCTTGTTCCTTCAAATGGTAGTCTGCCCACCGGCCTCCTGGTCACCCTGTTCCTGTTCTCTCCTTATTGTAATCTGCCCTCAACACCAGCGATACCATTGTTGCCAAAGCACTATTTCATCATGTCATTCCTTTGTCATAAACCTTAAATGTCATTTGCCATCTATAGGATAAGTCCAAAGTCCTCAGACTGGCTTTCCACATCCCTCATATTTCCCCACACTGCTTAGCCAACCTTCCTCTTACTCTCTTCCTGCCAATTTGGTCTCTTTATTGTTCCCCATATATCTTCAGTCTCACCTGCATGCTTTTGTATGTGGTGTTTTCATTTTCTGGAAATCCCTCCCTCCCCAAATCCTTATGCACATTTTCCAAAGCATATCCTTCCCTGAAGTATTCTGCAGCCCTTCTAACTCATGAGCCCAGCTCTTCTAAACACTTTTTACACACAAACACAACTCATTGCACACTCATTGTCAGGCATCACTACCTGTTTTATGTTTGTCTTCTAAACAAAACCCTTAAGAAGCCCAGACTGTGTAGACTGTAGGCCTCTAATAAATAACATGAAATGTGGTAGTGATTGCCTATAACCAGGAGAGTGACCATTTGTGTTTTCTTCTCTACCTCCAGTCAAGTATCATCATGTGGGCAAACTGCTGAAGGAGGGGGAGGAGCCCACCGTGTACTCAGATGAGGAAGAACCAAAAGATGAGAATGCTCGGAAAAATGATTAAAGCATTCAATGGAAGCATATCTATTTTTGTATTTTGCAGAATCATTTGTAACATTCCAGTCTGTCTTTAAAATGTGGTAATTTCAATATTTAGAAAAGTTTTGAACTTGCTGTAAGTTTTTAAATTAACATCACTAGTGATACTGATAAAATTAATTTCTGTCTTAGAATGCATGATGTTTGTGTCACCAATCCCGAAAGTGAACTGCAGTGCTGTAATACAAATGTTAGTACTGTTTTTCTTCTATCGTTATTAATACAGGCTGAATTTAAATTTGTTTTTCCTGAGAGACAAGTAAGACTTCCTCCAAACAGGTAAAAATGTAAAATGTGCAAAGTCCTTCAAACACCAAGAACAAAGAATCAACTTTTAGTCATGATGTTCTCGAAAGACAGTAAATCCCTTATTTCTCAATTGACTTAGCTGCATGATTTCTGTTTTATCTACCTCTAAAGCAAATCTGCAGTGTCTCAAAGGCTTTAGTATTGATTAAAGAGAATTGTCCAGTAACGAAATGAAATCTCAAAGCTGGGCTGAGCTGGAAGAAATGCATTAGGTGTTTCTAGATGGCATCATTGTCATCCTTCAGATATTCAGACACCCTAACAGTAATCTACAGTGAATAATTAAAACAACGGTGAAAAATTAAAACAATCTGAACCTTCAAAAGAAAGCTTTGGGAAAAATCAGCTGGCTTGCCTAAAAACCTAAATACATGAAGAAGATTGTAGGACTATTTTCCCAATTCCCATGTTCATGGTGGGGCAATGGTTATTTTACATGATTTAACATGAGGGGCGTGTAGAACAGGTGTTTGCTCTCCTAAGAGCCTTCACACATACCCCTGAAGAATGAGGAAACAGTAGACATCACTAGCCAAGTGGTTTTTGAAGTATATTCATAGGGTAACAGTTTTCTGTTATCACAAAACTATAGCCACTCAAGAGTAGTAATTAAGTGTCTAGGTCTTTGATATTGGTCTATTGGTTAAAAATAAACTTAGCTTAAGTAGACTGTACAGTTGTATGAATTTGTAAAAGTATTATCTGAACAACTAGTGAGGTTTCAAACTTGTGATTGTAGTTGAATAGTATTTTCATTGTATTTTCTTGTGAACTGTGTCTAATGGTTTTACCTCAAATCAGAAAACAAAATGAAGTGCTTTGGTCAGTTAATAAAATGGTTTTACCCAGTATAGTGTGGTTGGGTTGTCTTATTCTTTTAAAACCTTAATCTAAAGAACCAGATTCAATGATTTTACTTTATCTTAACACTGAGTTTCACTTTTGAGTGATTTATTTTTGTATTCCAAAACAAACAAGGGGCAAAACTTCATAGAGGCCTCACACCACAAACCAAATGCCAGCCTGTCCTGCTAAGAAAATGTGAATTGAATTAATTTTTTGTGACATGTCAAATTCTGCCTCTTTAAATCAGAACTTTCTAAACTCAAAATCAGACTTCTGCCTTTGAGGTCTATACACAGCAAGGATATTAAGGGGTAATTTTACAGAAAGCTTTAAGTGCCAAGGCAGACAGTTTTTGTTGTTGTTTTTAATGTATCTGATTAGGAAAGTGTTCAAGAATCCTTAGAGCAGTAAAGTTAATTCACTTCATGTCAAGAGGAGGATATCAAATTTGCATATAGACAGCTGTATGAACATGGATAACTCTGAATGTTGTTCTGCCCTTTTAATGGCAGTTTTCTTACGAGATGTACTCCCTGAACCAAAGAGCAGCTTTGCACATTTTGTTATTAAACCATATTGCCTGGTTTTGTTGATTTTAAATGTGCCCTTTTCCTCAACTAGATTTCATTCAATATTCAAGTTGCCTGTCTTGTGCCAAGAAGCCTGTTATGTCTGCTTGTGAAGATTAGGCTACTCCTTTTACAAAGTTAAACAGGTTTGTCTGATGCCAAGAGGAAAATGTCCAGAGCCTGGTTAAGCTTCAAACCCAAATAGCCTGATTTCCCTCTATTCAGAACTAAATCAACACTGTGTTGATTATATGTAAAAGGGTATTACTATAAGGCAGGACTTTGATCTAAAAATTTAACAAGTCCAGCTCACATATTTGTAAACCATTTTACGTAAAAGGTGCCATTCAAGATGTGGGAGGGGTTCCAACCACCATGGGCCAGTGGGGGAGGTGTCAGGTGAACAAGTTTGTTCTTGCCCTGCGGAGACACTATTTTCAGTACTAGTATTTCTGGGTCCTGAGCAGCATTTAAGTGTTTTCAGTATCTCTCCCAATCTGTGGCTTCTCTACATAATGTCACATTCACCTTACCTCAGAGGGTCAAACCTATGCAAATCTTGAGATCCAGAAAAAGCATCCATATAGCCCTTGCTGTTTCAGAAAGAACTCTGAACCAAACAAGGACCTTTTCAGCTCTCAAGTGCCCAGACTGGAATCTAAGGTACAGTCTGCCTTTGTTACATAAATAATACTTTAGAGGCAGCTTCTGTACATTTCTCGTGAATGGTCAAAGACTGATTACTGAGGCCCCTAGCTTCTCTGACTAGACTCCCCATCCCATACACACACTTGTTTTGAGACACTGTATAACTTTAACACTTCCACCAAGGACTGAAGAGATGAGATGAGATTCCCTGGAATTTATCGGCTGGCTACTTTTCCATAGCACTGATAAAATCTTGGCTTAAAGGAGGAGAGTCCTAAGTCCCAATACCACAATTTCAATTTATCCAAAATGAAAATAAAAATTGGTTTGATTTCCGACAGTCCATTCCCATAAACTAGCATCATAAAGGGAAAAGTTGCATAACCAAGGCTCTATTCACTATGATGACTTTATTTTTAATCTATCTGAAAATTAAATATGTATTATTTCTCTAGCACAAATGAGAAAAAGGATCAGCAACATTAGTGCAAGGCAGCATACTACAGGTAGAAACTTCCCCCACCCCCTGCCATTGTGGAATCGTCAGCATTTATTTGAGTTAGCATTTTAAAACAGTCTTGCAACAAGTAAAAATACATTTATTTGGTTATTTTCAAAACGACCAGTTTACATGGCTTTCTACCTGAGAAATTCAAACAAATTGAACAAAAGCATGTTGACAAATTTTGAGCTTTTAAAAACACAATCAGAAGCACATACAAGGAAAAAGATGAAAACACCTATTTAAAAAGACAAAGTTTAAAGTTCAGGCCCTTAGATAATAGCACGTAGAATAAAGATGAAAAAATAGTTTTGCCCCACTTAAATAACAGCAAAACAGAAAACAATGTTAATAGAAAGTGATGACAATATTTTCAGTTCTATTTTATTCCTTATTAAGCCATTCAGTTGAACAGTACAGGATAAATTGTTCGCTTCCTCCTTTAAGTCCTACACACAAAAAAAGGTTTACTCAAATCTAGAATGTGTTACCACAAGACATAAAAATCCATTGTGGTATAGAAAGTAAACATAAAACCAGCATTTTTACTTTCTTCTAGGTTGGCTTTCTTCTACAATGGTATTCAGTTACCAAACAACAATAACAAAAAGAAAAAAATATATAGATAGCTGTGACTTAGCACCAGTTCTATTACACACACACACAAAAATCACATGCTGTTTTCGGCAATTTATTTTTTATGTCTGGTTACTGAGCAGCAAATTGTTTCCATGCCTAAAATCTCCACACAAAAAAATTATCAAATGACAGAAAAAATTGAGATTTTTTTTTTTCAAAACAAGCATAGCTGCTTTCCATTACAAACCCATAACATTCTTTGTTTGAATGGCATGAAATATGAAAAAACAAGGAGGCAGGGTCTCGCTGAAGGAGAATAATAACTAGTTGCCGAAAGTTGTCTGATGAATACAAGCTGTTAGTTGCTTAAAAGGCCTCTCTGGACAACAGTACTTTGAACATTAATAATAATTGCTAGTCCTAAAGGAAAAAAGGCACTCGCCCCATGAACGATTTTTCAGATTTGACAAGCCAAACCTAGTTTTGATGGCAGAGTCACTGGCTTGAAAGTGGAACTGAAGACAAGAGAGCCAACGAATCATCTGTTGGTTATTATGTTAACAATAATAAACATTCTGCTAGGTTACACTCAGTTCTCAACTTTTGCATGTACTAGCATACTTCTATTAAGTGTAATTAGAAGAGATCAATGAAACAATGTGTGGCTCTCACTTTAGATAAGATTTTATAGTCCCTTCATATATCAGGTTGCTCGAGAGGCTGGTTATAAGCACACATTGTGCCTTGTCATTCTGGGCGACTACACTGAATGGCAATCCTACCTTGGCTCTACCAGCTGGTACTTTTCTATCAAGTTAGGACTCTATCGGAAATGAATCATGCCATATGAAAATGTTGTCTTCCACTATCTTGTGTATTAAAAACCTTTTCTTGCTGCAGGTAGTCTAATCTCATTGATGTCTTCAATTGCCAAGTCAGGTATAGCTTTCTTGGGGAAAAAAGGTCATCTATTGCCCCTGAGGCCCTAAATCCAATATAAAGCAGAATGAATCAGCCAAGCTTTCAGCGGAAGATGTATTGCATTAAGATGTCTTTACAAATCTATAAAATATCTCAATTTAAAAACATATTCAAGAAGTCCAAAACCAGTAGGTAAAAAGATAAGTTGCTTTTGTCAAGAGTTTACAAATCCTGCATACATACGACTTTCCCTAACTAGAAAACTATGAGTGTCGCCCTTGACTCTTCCTAACTCCATAGCATTATTGAGGATTGAGGAGGCACTTGTTACTGTTTAATAAAAGTCAGTTTGGGGATATTTAGTGGCTTTTCAAAACCTGATGTCACCAAACCCTGAGTGAAAGGATTACATAACCTGAATGGAATACTGTCATGTTCTCTCTTCCCAAGTGCCATTATTGGTAGCCCAGGTTCTTTCAAGATTTCCTTTTGCAGATCCCACTGGTTGCATCACTTCAATCCTGTTGCTTTTCTAGGCTGGAATGACATGGGGTTCTTCGAAAATAACTCTGCTAATGGTCCACAGTCCATATAAGTCTCAAAGGACAATCTGAGCCCCTTTTAGATTTTCTTCTTTCAAGACTGTTTCTAAAAGGACAACTCTTTGAGTACTATGAACACATAAATAAGATTAATTTCCTTCTGATGGGTGCTTATGAAACCCTCAAATGTGATGAAGAAGTCTATTATATATTCTAGCTGTTGTCTCTCTTCTGTTAGCTATAGTTATTTCTAGATGAAAGTCAGGAAAGTTTGTTGTACATGCTGTTCTGACCAAATCAAAGAACATGTAAAAAGATCCTTATTCATTCACTGTTGTCTTCTTTGAAGATAAATGATACTAAATGATGAACTCATGAGAGCTAAAGGGCCAAAGAGAGCTATCTCAACACCTGTCAATGTTAATTTGCTCCTTTGCTGGCTCCAAATTAAAGTTGCAGTTGAACTATAGAAACATCTGTTCTTGGATCAGGAAGTTTTGCAAGCACATTGTTTTACCAAGCTTTAGAAACTGGATATTTTGTATTTCCAACGCTTGCCAACACACCTGCAGTTATTTTGACTTATGCTTTATACTTTGGCAAGAGAAGCAAAGTTTTTCATTTGACCTTGCTCAAGCTTTTAAATGTTGCTCTCTTGCTTGTCACTACATAGTTATATTTGTTTTTAAATGTTCTTGTAAATTGTCCATTGTGAATAAGGGTGTTCCTGATCTCAGAGATCTTCAAAACATTTGAAAATATAAAGAACCAGTAGAGTTGTTTCCTAAATAGCTTCCATAGTTAATGTGCCCTTGACTATTACGTCTGATATAATGATCATCTGGAGTCAACATGAAATCTGCAGAATTTTCATGTCTTTTAAACCTTCTTGCATCCTGGTTATGGTCTGACTTCCACAGAGTCTCTCTTCTTTGGGGAAAATACCCCAAATAGAAAGCATTAGTACATTCTGATGATGTTACTGGCACACGAGAGGGCCTATAGTTCACCTTCTGGTCAAATATATTATCACTAAACCTCCTCTTTCTTGTGATGTGGTCTAATAGGTCACTGCAACCGGATTCATGGTAGTAGCCTTCATCGAAGTATTTGGAGGCTAGTATTTTCCTCTTTTCGTTGTCGCTCTTGTTTCTCATGGAAGTATTTTCACCCTCAAACCCTGAACATCTCAGTTCATATTTGGAGCTCTTGCTTGGTTTCCTAAGCTGGTATTTAGAGTATTTCTTTTCCCCTTCATGTTTCCACTTTGAATACAAGGTCTGCTGACTTGATGTAACTTCTTGATTGCAAGTGATAATTTCATCAGCATCAAGAGATCCTTTTTCTGGGGAGCGATCATATGTGGCCACAGACTTCTGTTCCTCCTGTTGGTTTACACTAAGTGTTTCACTGAAGCATTCAGAATCACTACTAATTTCCTCTAAGAAATCTGTCAACTCCAAATCTAAGTCTACCCTCTTGTTGGGTGAGGAAGCTTGACTTTCACCTGTACATATGGAATCATTGACCTGGTAAGCATGGGTCTTTTCCAACAGATAGCTCTTTTCATCAGTTGTGGTCAGCTGATCATCAGCTTCACTGGCTGTGTCATTGCAATGACTTTTAAACTTCTTAGTACATTCTTTGGTATAATCCACTTTTCCTCTCTTTTGTGGTTTATGTGCAGGACGCTGAGTATAAATCTTTGTCCCGTACTCATCTTCTTGAGCCTGTTCTCTCCTTTCTAGGTTTTGCATTTGCTTCGACCTGGTTGAGGGATGCTTATCCTTTTTCAAATGGATTTGAAATCCATCTCCCCTGGCATAGACAGACTTCTGCCACTGACATGTGCTTGTTGTGTGACTTGGTTCTAAGCAGACAGAGGTATTGTTTGGAATCTGATAATAATAGTTTAATATATAATCAATAAATTCATCTGTTTCATAGATCTTCTGTTTCCTGCCACGGTCTCTCTCAGATAATCTGGAAGAATTAGATTTATTATAAGTGAGGTGATCTTCTTTCTCAAGAAATTGATCTTGAATTAATGTAATTTGCAAGGAATCCTTGTCAGACAGAAAATTGTGATTGTATCCATCGGTTAATAATTTTTCATTTATCTCATTTCTAGTTGAATATCTTTTTTGTTTTTTCTGATGGTAGTAAGAAGAGTTGCCTAAGTGAGCCCTAGTTCTTTTCTTCATTTCTTGTTTTTGGTTATTGTCTGAATTGACAACCTGATATTTTGGTATTTTCTCCTGATTTTGAAGATACTGGGTATTTAATTCTTCTTTCTTTAGAATTTCCAGTGTGTTCCTCAGACCACAATTAGCTTCAGGGCCTGCAACAGCTACTTCCTGTAGGTCAAACTGCATGGATTCCTTCAAAGAAAAGGGTTAAAAATCTCACATGAAAAACTAAACAGATTAAAAATTCCAAAGAAAATTAGGATTTCTGACATTGTTGTGAAGAGGTTTCTAATAAAGCCTAGGATAGATCCAAATAAGGAACAATATTGCACTGGGGACACAGAAGGCATAAAATTAAATGCCTCAGTCTAATATGAGTTTTTATTAGGTCTGTGCCCATCCTTATGTTAGAAGGCACTGCAGTTTACATACCTTCAAAGCATATGACCCTTTTTTTATTTGTTCAAACTGGGGATATGAAGAGGAATAAAAAATGCTCTATAGACCTCCCAGAAAATCCTAGAATAAGAAAAGACTGGTAGATGAAATGTGTGTCTACAAAGGAGTCACCTGGCTTAAAAGATAACCTGTATTTCTGTTTTTCATGCCAGCTTCTTCCTATGGATTTCAGGTAAGGGTGTCTCTGCCTGCCCTCAGTCAGAAGCAACACAGCAAGTAGAAAATGTAGTCATGACTACTGTTTTATCTGTGGTGCAATCTCCTCTGCACAACCACGGGGCAGGTGAAAGGTGCTGCCCACGGTCCCACCCTGCTAGGAGAGTTTGTACCATATTCCCACTGACACCTGGCACAAATCAGGGTATAGTGCTTACCCGCTTCCTACGATTAGAATGTGGGGACTGTATAATCAGCATAACGTATCAATGGGGCCAAGAATTAGGCATCACACACATTTAAAGAGATAAATTCTTTAAAAGGAGTCACATTTGGTGGTCTTTAAGGTAAACTAAAAATAGATCCAGCTAGTCTTATTATAAATGGATTTGTAATATTTTTCTGATCCTGATTGGTTATCCTCGCTAATTAAAAAAAGACTGAGACTACAAATAAACATTAAATCAACTCTATCTAATACAAATGTCATTTATTCTTTGTACAATATTAAAAAACACTAAATATGGATTTTTAAATGAGTAGTTCAGGATCCTTTCTGGCCTTTACTCTCGGACATCTGCTGAGTCTGATTATCTTGAGGAGGTCAGTAAGTGCGGGGGAAAAAAACCTTCCAAAATTGGAACTTTCCAAACAAAACAATTGCTCCACAATGCGAGAAATTCTTCAGCAAATACTTTAAGACTAGACTAACAGGAGCTTGCTACACAAAGTTCTCTGTTCAAAGCTCTCCCTTCTCATTCAAACCTGTTGCAGATAAATGGACAAGTAAAGTTAATGGAAGACTACAAAACTAACATCCATGTCACCTATTCCTTTCCCCTGGCATTTTCTGTTACATCCATTAGGAACTTAGAAAAGAAGATACACTAGCTACACTGCTCCAGTAAAACTGTTCTGAAGTTTAGCAACACAGACAGCAAGGGAGAGACACAACTCCTTGAGAGAATTTGGGTACCCCTTTTGTGAACCCACAACTGGGGTTATTAGAGATCGGCCTATTGAAAATAAACCCTAATGAATGCAATGTGTCTTCTACGCAGTCAGTTTTAAATATTGACTATGAAATGGGAGGGTTGTGTCTCAGAAAGGTCAGTACCTACCAAAATTGAAGAAGAAACAAATGAGAAAGAGCCTTACTGCAATTTTCCTGAGGAGCGCCCGTAGCAACCGAAAGGCCTCCACCTGCCTCTGAGCCAGCAAGAACTTTCTTTCCTCCAACTCCTCCGAAGAGTCCGGCTCTTGAGGTGCCTCAGCTTTGGCTCTGTCCCGTTTCCTTTGCCGGTGACTGTCCCTTTCCTTCAGTGCTCTCCTCCTGACCCTGGCCTTCTTCCTCTTTTCCTGGGCTTTCCTCTCCTCCTCTTTTCTTCTTCTGGACAATGATTAAAGGTCAACCTTTCAGAAGGTATTTATTAGGCATTTTCTCTCCTCCCCACACTTTCCCCACTGCCCAGGGTGGGGTGGGGGTGACATGGACAAACAACAGGTCATTTAGGTTTCCAGGAATCTCTCACTGCTAACCCCAAAGGCTGACAGAGACCCTGATGATAAGACACTGTGAAGCATCTGTCAAAGCTGAAAGACTCATAATTGAGTTTGCCAGTTAGAAGCATGCAAAGGAGATCTTATACAGAGACCATAAGAAAAAGACTACAGAATTCAAAGGAGAGGCCTCTAGCTGCCACTTTCTCAAATCATAAGCAAGGATTACTGGGCCAGCTTTTACAGTGATGATTTCATTTTTCTTGAGATCAAAATGTCCCATGAGCTGATTTCGCATAGGCAAATAAAGGTAAGTCAAGGCACTCAAGGGTGGGAACTGGTCCTTGGTACGTATTAACACAATATACACTATCATAAAAACATACTAACTTAGAAGAATTTTTTTTTTTTTTTTATTGCTGCTTTCTGAAAATTTAAACTTTGGTTAGGCCCTTATGGAAACATGCAGAAGGGGAAAAAAGGATAATTACCTGAGTGAGGGCATAGCCAAAAGCTGGAGGATTATCTAAACTGCATGTTCAGTCTAGAAATTTGGGGGCGGGGACAGTAACATTGACTGAGCTCAACTTCTAGCCAAGTTTCACAGACATGACCTTAAGAAACTCCTATTACCTTGCTGGCCAAAAAAGTAAGAAGTACACGGGAGCGTACTCTTTATCTCCTTTTCAAATGGCTATAATTTACATGAAAGACTGGAAGAATAAACATGCAAGGGGAGGGGCCAGGAGGTAAAACTGGCTTTTAGAGCCCTGTAGTTCTAACATATTTGTGCCTTCTTGAAAAACCTTTGACAGTCCAATAGCCCTCTCCAGTCTCAAGCTTCTAAATTGGTAAACAATGATAAGCTTAAAGAAATAAACATGGACACTCCTTAAATTCATAAAAATAACTTAGGCCAATGAGAAAAATAGTCCCAACAAATCTATGCCTTCGTGCCTATAGGTTAGTTTAAATATTGACCAGTCTATGGAAGAAAACCTTTC